GATGATGAAAGTTCTCTTACCAAGATACTGGATATTACTCGTCGAATGGAAGATGCTGCACGTGATGCTCGTGTCATGGAGTGCAGTGCCAATAACGGTGCTGCCACTGTTACTAACAGTGATGAGGTACGTAAGGTTCAGGGAGGACACCGTGATCAAAGAAGATATCATGGCAAACCTAACAGTAAATTTAGCCGAGAACCACGTCACAACTGGGGTCAAGGAACAAGACTCAAGCAGTCACAACGACCCACATCAGAGGGTGTCAACAATAAATGTTACAATTGTGGAGGAGACTACCCACACCAAGATAATGTTTGTCCTGCTCAAGGTAAGAAGTGCTATGAGTGTGGAAAACTAGGTCATTTTGGTGCTATGTGTCGTTCCGCACTAAAGAAACCACAGTCAATGAATAAAAGCACTGTACGAGGATCAGGTCATAGGGGTCGAGGTGGTAAACACAATATTGCACCTCATATCCAGAATGTTAATAATATACAAGACAACATTTCATTACAACCAGTCTCAGATGACAGTGAATGTGATTATACTTATGGAGTACAAGCAATCACAGAATGGAATGATCTTCCAAACAACCCAGAGACATGTGTATACATTGCTGGTATTTGTCTCAAAGTTCTCATTGACACTGGATCAAACATTGATACCATTGCTGAGTGCCACTATGAAAAATTTAAAAAACAGTTCCCAAAGCTTGAGAACTATAATGGCAAAGCCACTGCCTATGCTTCAAAGGTAGCCTTGCCAGTGATTGGAACTTTCACTGCAGAGATTAAGTCAAAGAATGCAATGCTCATTACTACATTCCATGTTGTTAGGAATGCAAAGGAGTCTTTACTCAGTTACAAGACTTCAACCAAATTGGGGCTACTTCAGCTTTCTAATGCTGTAGCAGTGGAATCTGCAAACAATGTTGATGGTATTGTTGCTGAATTTTCTGATCGATTTAAATCCATAGGTTGTTATACTGATAGCAAAGTACATCTGCATATCAACCCAGATGTAATTCCAGTTGCCCAACCACATCGCCGACAACCATTCCATACTCGCAAGAAAGTCGATGCCGAACTGGATAGGCTGATCGACCTAGATATCATTGAACCAGTAACAGGTCCAACACCATGGGTAAGCCCAATTGTCACTCCACCAAAGCCGAAGAATCCAGATGAGATACGCATTTGTGTGGACATGCGTGTTCCCAACAAGGCAATAATGCGTGAACGCCATCCTACACCCACTGTAGATGATATGATCTACCGCTTGAATGGTGCAACTGTATTCAGCAAGTTAGATTTAAACAAGGGCTATCATCAGCTTGAACTTGATGATGAGAGTCGCTTCATCACAACGTTTACGACACATCGAGGTCTGTATAGGTACAAGCGCCTGAGTTTTGGTATTAACAGTGCTGCCGAGGTATTCCAGCACATCATCAGCCAGGTATTGCAAGACATACCTAATGCTGACAACATGTCTGATGACATCATTGTTTATGGCCGTACCCAAGCTGAACACGACAAAGCTCTTCGTGCAACATTGCAACGCTTACGAGAAAAGAATTTGACGCTAAGCCGAGCAAAGTGTGAGTTCAATCAACATAAAATATAATTCTTTGGACATGTACTTAGTGACAAAGGTCTGTCTCCAGATCCTAAGAAAGTTGCAGATATCAAGAATGCTGCACCTCCTTCAACATCCACTGAAGTACATAGTTTTCTGGGAATGGCAAACTACTGTTCTCGCTTCATTCCAGATTTTGCTCCCATTACGAAGCCTCTACGTGAGTTCCTGAAGAAAAATGCATCATGATACTGGAGCGATATCGAGCAAAATGCATTTGATGCTGTGAAAGATGCACTAGTAGAGAATGCGACTGCTGCATACTTTGATCCATCAATGGACACTGAATTAACGGTGGATGCTAGTCCTGTTGGATTAGGTGCTGTTTTAGCCCAACACAAACCTGGTCAACCAGATTCCAGAGTAGTAATTGCCTACGCCAGCCGTTCTCTCACAGATGTTGAGCAACGATACAGTCAGACAGAGAAGGAAGCTCTTGCTCTTGTATGGGGCTGTGAACACTTCAATGTGTATCTGCTTGGTGCACCCTTCACCACGATAGTCACTGACCACAAACCGTTGGAGACCATCTTCAATAATCCAAAGTCCAAACCACCAGCTCGCATTGAGAGATGGGCTCTTCGTCTGCAACCATACAACTTTACGGTGAAATACAAGCCGGGTGCAGGCAATCCCGCTGATTACATCAGTCGACATCCTGCCAACAGTTTCACCATCACCAAGCATCAGCAAGTTGCCGAGGAATATGTACACTCTGTAACCTGTGATGCAGTCCCTAAGGCTCTTACTCTTGATGAAATCCGTACTGCAACCCTAGAGGACCCAACTCTGCAAGCAACAGTGGATGCATTGACTAAGAAAAAGTTTCCACGCATCCCACCCTCAGGAGTTGACCAAGATGCATTCAAAGCACTTGAACGCATCCAGACAGAATTAAGTGTTACGCAACAACGCGACACTGTGCTGCGAGGTACTCGTATCGTGATTCCAGCTGTTCTCCAGCAACGTGCTCTGAAGCTTGCACATCAAGGACACCAAGGTCTTGTTAGGACGAAACAGCTGCTACGAGAAAAGGTGTGGTTTCCTGGTATTGATCGTCAAGCAAAGGATATGCATGATGCCTGTGTCCCTTGCCAAGCTGCAGTGGATACTTCAAGACCAACACCTCTACAACCTTCACCACTACCTGCTGCACCATGGACGGAAGTATCAATGGACTTCTGCGGACCACTACCAACTGGAGAGTACTTGATGGTAGTCATTGATGATCACTCACGTTATCCAGAAGTAGAAGTCATCAATTCCACATCTGCAAAGGCCGTCATCCCGAAACTTGACAAGATCTTTTCAAACTTTGGCATTCCTGAAGTTGTCAAGACGGACAATGGACCGCCATTCAATGGACAAGACTTTGTCAACTTTGCTGAGCATATTGGATTCAAACATCGCCGTGTGATGCCACTACATCCCCAAGCAAATGGAGAAGTTGAGAGATTCATGCAACCTCTCATGAAAGCGGTACGCTGTGCTCATGCCGAAGGACGATCCTGGAAACAAGCTATGTATGCTTTTCTCAGGAACTACCGTGCAACACCACATGGAACACTGGGCAAGTCTCCTGGCGAACTTTTATTTGGACGTCCTATGAGAATCGCACTACCCGTCATGCCAGCCGAGGTAACGGATAAACGTCTCGCTCAGAAGGATGCACTAGCCAAGGGCAAAATGAAAATTGCTCATGATCAACGTGCAAAGGAACAGTTCATAAAGGTTGGTGACACTGTTCTCGTTAAAAAGAAAAAAGAGGGAAAGTTAGATATGCCGTATGATACAAAACCATATAAAGTGATTAGTGTAAAAGGAACTATGGTAACAGCTAGTAATAGAGATCATAGTATAACACGTAATATGGCTTATTTCAAAGTGATTCCAACTAGTGTAGAAAATGATGAAGTGCAAAGTCGTGCAAAAGAAAAAGAAAAAAATAGTTATAACCCGACAAACAATTCATCAAGGGATGTTATTGCATTTAAGGACTCTCGTCCTAAACGTCATGTTAAACGCCCTACACGATTTGATGATTAATTGTGTTCCTATGTAATGAAAAGTATTTACTTATTGTGCTAAACTAAATTTAATATTGTTTGAATAATGCAGATATCTCATTCAATATTTTGTAACTTTGTATTACAGTTTCTTTCATGTTTGTTTAACATTGCATATGTATTTTTAACATTGAAATCCTTTGTGGAAAAGATTAAGTTGTTTAAATTCTTTGTGTGCTTAATTAATGTTAAATGTATGCAGTATCTCTTGATATGTTAATAACTTACTTTGTGTCAATAACTTTGCTTTGTGCTACAAGCATGGTAGACATCCTGTATTCATTCTTTTTAAAGAAAAGGAGGGATGTCATGTTCACAGAAAATGGTACCATCCGTTTTCTATGTGTGGCGGAGCAGACGCCAGAGAGAGATTGGAGGTAAACAAGAGAGCGTACAGGACGCCCGCCAAGCTTGGTAGCTACTAGTCATGTAATCATATTAAGTATTAAAGTCAGTAACCAAGTCATGACTTTACATCAACCCTACAACCAAGACTTCCTCAGTAACACACAAACACCACAATAACCCCTGTGTGACTGTTTATATATTTGTTTATGGTGGTGGTGATTATATATATAAATCCGAGCATTTGTATCCCTTCCACTTTAATTTAACTTGCGTTACGGAACACACCTCTTGAAAGCCACTACTAACTTGGGGCCGAATTCCCGAATTCTAATAACACCAGAAAAGAACCCGGTTACGCCCCAGTAGGGCCGTAACACGATGTAGATAACGGTGTAATAAAATAAAGTCTTCATGTCCCAACAATGAGAAGACAATTCAGTAATGTATCTTTTTGTACCACTTTGGATAATACAACCGTTGTATATTACAGCAGCAGAGTAACCGGGTCTGAATTATAATTCCCAGACATGTTTACAAGAATTTGTCCGTGTTTCTTCTGATATTGTCCCCCTTTTGTGTTGTGTTTAACACGTGAACACTTGATAAAGGTGTACTCCCAGACTGCTTGCACAATACTTCCATGCACATGTCTTGTGCTTTAGTTCCAGTTGTCGGGGACAGGAAGCCTGTATATTTAGAGTTGAGTTGCAACCCACAAGAGTTGCCTGACTTCCGGATACCAGTTTACTGCAAGGTGAACAGAGGCACCAAGTGAAAGCAAAAATGCCTAACCATTTCTATCCTACTAGAGGATCAAACCCGAGATTCCTGATTGTGAGTCAAGAATGTAGATTAATGTACTACAGAATCCATTTGATAATGTATAATAAATGATCTGTACATGAAAAAAGTGAGATTAATGATATATTTGTACCGTGTACACAGCGTACAGGAGGTGCCAGCGGCCGTGTACACTCTCGGACTACACCTACACCAGCACCAACCTGGCCATCCCGGACTACCAATACCAGGCCATGCGCCAACAGTTCTCCCTGCAGAATAGGTAAATCTGTTTCTCCAGTTCTGGTTTAATATTTTATATCCACCATTTATCCGGTTTTTATACTAAGATATCCTTGGATATCTTATCGTGAATGTACGTAACTCATTCAAATATTTTAAGATATTAGATCATAAAGTTTCGAGCTTTAAGAGTGATATTAACACATATAATTTATAACACTGAAAGTATAGATGTTAAAAATTTATTCATTCACATTCTCAAGTTTTCTGCGACTGAGCCGGTTGGATGTCTTGGCTGTCATGACCCATATATCCACAGGAGTGACGTGGCAGCCGTCGTGGCGTTCTTCCCTACCATGCGCTACACCGAGATCAAACACTGGCATCGAACTATTGAACAATTTATGAGTAAGTGTTACCAACAGTATATCCACTGCACTGCTCGGCCTTAAAATGTGACAAACCATAGTACGCCGAAAAAAATATTTTCGCCCAAAAAATTTTGTCCTTCCAAAAGTGTTAAATACCTTTCCCCTGATCACATATATGTTGAAAAAATTTCACAACTGTACCTACTTTGACCGCAATGGTGTCTGGAATATGTCATGTGACGTCACGGCTTGGCTTGATGGTCGCCCGTGCCTTAGACTCCCGGAGGCCGTGCGGCAAAATCAACAAGTGCGAGTTGCCACAAATATTTTTTTGTTTATTTTTTTTGCACAATTTCAAATGCATTTATATTTTTTCTGACTAATCCGATGCATATTGAACACATTTACAATATTCAAGCAGCAGAACATCCGTACTGTTCCAAGACACTGTGTTACAAGTATCACAGATGTGTCCATAAACATTGATTATATTTTCTACATTTGATGTTCAAATATATACATTTATAACTTACTAGCTGTACCCGGCCACGCGTTGCTGTGGTTCAGCAACGCGTGTGCGTTGCTGAGCCACAGCAACCTTCCCATATCTCCTAATCCTCCACACCATTTTCCCCCTCCCCAGTCCCCTCGTCCTCCCAACCATTCCTCACTCCAACGTCCCCTCGTCCTCCCAACCATTCCTCACTCCAACGTCCCCTCGTCCTTCCAACCATTCCTCACTCCCTCGTCCCTTTTCCTCCCCTTCTTCCTCCACTCCAGCATCACCTCGTCCTCCTAACCATTCCCGACTCCACCATCCTCTCGTCCTCCCCACTATCTCCCCCTCCCTCGTCCCCTCGTCCTCCCTACCATTCCCCCCCCCCCCACTAACGTCCCCTCGTCCTTCCCAACATCCCCCACTCCCTCGTCTGATGATCAAATGATCTGATGTTCCCATCAGAAAATTGGGAACATCAAAGGATCTGGGGCTAGATTTACGAAGAAGTTACGCAAACACTTAAGAGCCTGTACATCTTTTCTCAATTTTTGGCAGCTTTGTTTACAATTATTAAACAGTTAATGAGCTCCGAAGCACCAGGAGGCTGTTTATAACAATAACAACAGTTGATTGGCAAGTTTTCATACTTGTAAACTGTTTAATAAATATAACCAAAACCATCAAAGATTGAGGAACGATGTACACGTTCCTAAGTACTTGCATAACTGCTTCGTGAATCTGGCCCCAGATGTTCCCATCACTGAAATATAAGAAAAACAGCTCAAAAACGAAATGAAAAAAAAAATAAAAAAAAAATAAACTATACTCACAAAATGAACGGTATGGTAAACAACCAACCCGTTCTCGCACTTTCTTACAGTCATTATTGACTTATTAAATAAGTGCATATGTGACATACTAATTTATTGTGAATATTTTAGTTTACCTTGAAAAGCTTCATAGAAAACACCGACCTTACCTAACCTTCTTAGTATGTTAAGATAAGCAACTTATTGCTTCGTAATTACAATTATTACTTATCTATACCTATAATATAGGTATAGATTACAATTATTACTTAACCTATACCTATAATAGGTTAAGTAATAATTGTAATTATGAAGCAATAAGATGCTTATCTTAACATACTAAGAAGGTTAAGTAAGGTCGGTGTTTTCTATGAAGCTTTTCAAGGTAAACTAAAATATTCACAATAAATTAGTATGTCACATATGCATGTATTTAATAAGTCAATATTGACTATACGAAAGTGTGAGAATGGGTTGAAACAACACAGCTCAATTTCAAGGCAATGTCATAAAAATAATTAAATCAAAATTAAAATAAATCAAAATTTATGAAAATTCAATTTATCAATAAAATTAGAAACATTGAAATGGAATCGTAACATATTTAGTATAGCATGTGTTGGTCTTATGTGCAACAGATGGCGCTGTTTTTAAAAAATGCAAGTTTTTACCTGTCACAGGAGTGGCATCTATATAGTAGTTATATAAAAAGACGCGCCTATTCGAATGCAATGATGTGTCAAAATTTCAAAGCAATCGGTAAAGAGGTTTCTAAGATTTCCCTCACATGAAAAACACATGTAAACCACAGTTTTTCAGAAAAATCATGTTTTTTTTACGATCACAGACATGACATCTATATAGTATGTATATAGAAATCTGCTCGGATGCGAATGGAACGTTGTGTGAAAATTTCAAAGCAATCGGTGAAGAACTTGCGGAGATTAGCGGTTATGCACAAACGAACATTTCCATTTTTATTTATATAGCTTTACACACTGTACAGTATCACACACTATATACATCCCCTATCAACACATTTAGAACTGCATGAGTGTATGAGAATTAGTGAAGCAGTCGAAAGTGCATAGGGGAACTTAGCACTCAACTCACCAGGTTCAGATGGATCTTCGCTTGCGTTTCCTAAGTTGTGTGTTGTTGCAAACAACACAGGCACATTTCCCCTTGTTCCGTGTGCTTGTGCCTGGCATATAACCAAGCCTGTGTACATCAAGGTGTTCTTTACTCATGAGTCTGTCAGGAACTGCGCGAGTGATTGTTGCTGGCACCCCACGTGTTGCAACACAGCCCTCCACCCTCTACTTTACAAGAAGTTGTGACACTAGAGCAACTCTAAATGTATGTATTGAGGGACTCTTGCCAGATTTCACGAGATACATGTTGAACCAGTTCTGCACAGCAACCTCAATGAGGTGGAAAACGAATTTCTTCGTCCACTTCACAGATAGTCGCACGCACTCGACAGCACCAGCCATCATGTCTCATTTATCAACTAGCCGGATATTTACATTGTAGTTAATGACACAATCAGGTTTATACATTGGCACCTTGTTGCAAAGTTTACTTTCCTACTGTCCAACGTAGCAACAGTGTGAATAGTTGTTAACATATTCACCTCGCGTCTGTCCCTCCAGCTCACGGATAACATTTTATCACACTTTAGCAGCTGGCATTCACCCCTCTGCAATACCCATACCAAACACTGTCATTTCCCTCCTGTGGCCTTGAAAGTGCCACATACGGCGGTGTTGTAGTTACGGAGGAATCTGGTCAACAAGGGGCTGGTGTAGTAGTTGTCAGTGTACAGGATATGCCATTTGTTCAGCAATGGTTCCATGAGTCTTTTTCACGACACTACCTGGGAACCCGTGTGGATCTTGACCTTGTGTGTCAACGTCCGTACCTGAATACATTATCATGTCGATGACAATTCCAGTTTCGCAGTCACATAGCACGAAAAAATTAATCCAAACCGGTGCCTTTTTTTTATTTGTTATTTTTTATTTTAGCATGCAAGTATGCGCATAAATACAATAAAACGAGAACAAAACAAACAGAACACAAATCACAAATTACAAAATCACAGGAGCACAAAATTACAAAGACACTAAATACCAGCCTGAAGAGCCAACAACAAAAACACAACAATAAACACAAACACAACGCAATACAGTACATAAATAACACAGTACAAGACATGAGGGTAACGTTAGTGTGACACGTAAGCATGCTCACAAATACAAGAAACCAAGAACAAAACAAACAGAACACAAATCACAATTTACAAAATAACAAAAGCACAAAAGTACACAAGTAAAATAAGTACACAAAAGACATAAAATACCGGCCTGAAGGGCCGACAACAAAAAGCACAAACATAATGCAAGACAGTACAAAAATAATAACAGAACAATACATAGTACTCAAACCCGCACCCAACAACCTAACCATCGAAACAATGCAAAACAAGCCTACCGGCCCCGGAAAACACACACGGAGAGGCACCAATACATAATGACAATTAGAAGAAAGGAAACATAAAAACAAATCACATAAACAAAAAGAAATTAACAACGGCAATTCACGATAACGGGAACAAAAACAGGCATGGCCATACAAGCAGCCTGAAGAGCATGCAATCACGCCACAAACAAACACACACCGGAACTCACAGGAACTGGAAATATGGAGCACACAGGAACCGGGGAAACAAACCCGGCCCACCCATACACACACACACACGCAACCACACTCCACATCCACGCACACAAACTGACACAACCCCACAACACATAGCAAACAAATAAATCACTTGAAAGGAGACCAATGGGAGGTGAATATTTCTCAGGGAACTCATACAGAGGATATTTGTTCTTATAGGCCTCCCATATCAAACACTTCATGTCGGTAGGGTAATGATTCCCCTGCTTCAGGTCGGGGGGCCCATAAACTCAGGAATCACTAAATCAGGCGGAAACAGCAGCTCCCAAAGCTGGTCGGCAGAAGTCGCATAACTAGGAAGGGTATGGCAAACCACCTCCTCCGTGGAAGCAGAAGGTACTGCGTACGTAGGCTGCCGAGACGGCCCAGCCGCCGGATGCACAGGAGAAGATGGCGAAGGCTGCCGAGGCGGTAACACCACGCCTGACACCGCAGGAGATGCAGAAGAGACGGCTGGAGACAAGAGAGGTGGCAAAACCGCCGCCGATGAAACAGGGCACGAGGCTCGGGGCACGGAACTCCCAGAGTGAGTAGCCTTTTTCAACACCACCACCAGATCACCACGCTCACCACGAACCTCATCAGGGAGAACCACCCTCCACGTAGAACCAGAACCATCCGATGCGGGTGACATACCCGAAGCAAGATCCACAGACACCACACCAGAAGGACAGACCGAGACACTGTCACCGGCAGCTGCAGGCATATGGACCTCCGCCACCACCGAAGAATGCAACGCAACTGGAACCACGCCGCCGTCGATGGAAGATCCACAGTCGTCGAACTCTCCCACATCAGCCCAGGCAGAAGAAGAACGCCGGGAACGCTTAGGCACCAGCCGCACATCATCAGAGCCGGATGTCGACCCAGAAACCCGGGCAAACCGACGCTCTCCGCAGGACGGCAGCATCCTTAACCACACAGGGCACCAGGTCGAGCACAGTGGGAGGCCCTACAGCCACCCCAACATCCAGCACAGCCTAGACA